GCAAGTGTGTGTGTGTGTGTGTGTGTGTGTGTGCATTTGCAGGGTGCGCGATCCCCACCCCACCAATCAATCAATCGATCAATCAATCAATCAATCAATCACGTTCAAATACACACAAGCAATCAATGGATCAATCAAGTTTTTTTTTATATATATTTCCACCCACCCCACTGCCCCACCAAAACATAATTCGTGTTTTTATATCTCTGGGGGTCCCGGCGACGAAACCTTGTATCCATTTCTCCCCAAACGGGGAAAAAAGTGCCGCAGGTCCCAAAATCACTTTTGGTGTCATTTTTGCAGCCTGGCTGGGCCGGTAATGGCCGCTGTGTAAAATAGAGGGAAAATGTTTTGCAGGGTGCAAAAATGACCCCGAAAGGGCCGAAAGTGATTTTGGGGCCTGCAGCACCTTTTTCCCCGTTTGGGGGGAATGGATACAAAGGTTTCCTCGCGGGGAGGTTTTATGACTTTTCCCATTCCCCCCCGCCAACGCCCCTAATTTTGATGCCCCCTTTTTTGAACTTTTTTTTTTTTTTTCTCACTTCGAGGGGGTGGAGCCTGGATCCCTGTCTCGGAATCCCGAGCTCGAAGGGCGGGACGTGTACAATTACCAAATTGTGCCTTTGTACTTAGTAATCTTTGAATTACCTTTTCTGACCTGGATCCCTGTCTTGGAATCCCGAGCTCGAAGGGCGTGAGGTGTAAGATTACCAAAATGTGCCTTTGTACTTAGTAATCTTTGAATGGCCTTTTCTGAATTAACATAGTTTGATTTTGTTTTTGTTTAGGTAGCTCAGTTGGTAAGAGCAAAGGACTGAAAATCGTTGTGTCAGTGGTTGGACTCCACTTCTAAACAGGCCCCCCTCCCCTCGGCCGCGGGAGACCGTTTTCAACCCCAGCCGCGGTGGTCATGACCGTGGGCTCGCGGCCCGGCCGGGGGCCACGGTTGTGGCCGCCATGACCACGGCCTCTGGGGATTTGTAGCCCCTCGCCGTCCAAGCCACTAGTCTGCTGTCCTCTCGCTGATTCTATTCATTTTATTATGATGGAGATATGTTTTCTGGGTTTGTGGTGGTGGTGGTGGGGGGGAATAAGTAGAAGACTGAAGTTACTGATTGTATTGCTGGACAAAGTTATGCTGACCTTTTTACAGTGTTCCTATCAAGTTGCGTTTTTTTTTGGTTTGCCTTGCTTTTCTTTTTTTTTATTATTTTTTTATTATTTTAGAAATTGCACTTTTATTAACGGGGCCCAGTGCCCAAGGCATGTTACATCATCATAGTAACCAACAACAGGGACAGCCAGGTTGTCCTGCTCCTCCAAGAGCTCGGAGGCCTGCCCCTGCGAACACAATCTGCACACCCATCACCCGAGCCCGGGCAAAGCACCATTACCAAAGTACTAAACTACTAAACTACTCCCGCAAATCAAAGCCACGATTACCAAAAAACTAAAGTGCTAATCTACACCCACAACGCGACCCTAAGTACGCCGACAGGTCTCCACACCCATTTCAAGCAAAGAGTAATAAAGCCAATCAGTCCGCACACAAACCTCCTAGTGCCTCTCGCTTCGATGCCCTGCCTCAAACCAAAAGCCGGCAACAAATCAAGTAGGGTCGCCCACCTATACATTCAAAGTGCTTTGTGTTTAAGCACGGTACCAAAGAGCGCACCACCCCCACCAAACATCGAACAAGACTCGTCAACAGAAGCAAATAGGGTTGCCCACCTCTAGGACCACGGGTCAGTTGTCCGAGCACGGTAGTCCAGCAACGAGTCAAAAGCCAAACGGACCGAAAGACAAGAGTCAACTCGAGAAAACACAGCGGCACACTTCAACAAAAAGAAACCCTAAAAGACAGAAATACACTCCTCCCCAACTAAAAACAACCACCAGTACGTACAATTTCAAAGAGTTCCTAAAACAACTAACCACCGACTAAGTAGCGCATGGCAAACGAACTCCCAATAATTCTTCAGAGAAGATCTTCAATCTTCACTATCAGGTCCGGTCTTCTTCCTCCCGAACATTGACACCGTCGCCACCAAAACCGCCCCATCCACCCCAGCTGCCAAGAAGTTCATCACAGGTCGCTCCCAACGATCACTCTATCCGTCTGTAATGAAAGTACACCCGCTGACATCCCAACAAGTCGTCAACGGCTCCACCGTCTTTTGCACTCGCATGTACACAATATCCAACATGACGGTCCTCATGTGGTTGAAGGAGGGCAGTTTCACCTGCGGTCTTGACTTTGCCACCTGCAGGTACACTTCTTGGAGTTTCTAGGTGGTATCAAAGTTCAGGAAGTTGAATGGGATCCCAGCACGAAACATGGCCTTCGCCCATGCGATGTCCAGTTTCTTCTGTGCATCATTGTCCACCCACCTCCTTATTGTTGACTGATGTAGTGAGGACAGCCGTGTGTTCGACCCCGACTCCTCACCCCCCGCCGCCTCCAAAGCGTTCTCCTTGTGCAAATCCCCTGCATCACATGGTGGAGCAGCCCTGCCCGCAGTGGGCGGTGGCTGTGGCTCAAGGTATACGGGAACTTCAACCACCTCGTCGGCCTTCTCCGTTTGATCGACCCCCCCTTCCGGAATCCCGTGCAGCTGTCTGTAATTCTTCAGCAAGTACCGCGTATTCTTATCACCCGGCAACATTTTTCCCACGGACTTGACGAGCTCATTCACTATTTCCCCTGTGCACGATGGACACAGCTTCTGCGTCTTCATGTAATGTTCCACCGCTCTTGAGCTCGTGCCCCTCCAAATCTGCATGCACAACCGACACCTCACCCAATACTCGCCTCTCCCTTTCTCCCCGGCTTCCTGACCCTGTTCTGCGTACTTCCACACAGGTTTCTCCCTCTGCAACCTGTCATGCCTCGCCTTGTCTTGTGGAACGAACAGCGAAGGGTCCATTGCCGGCGTGGGGTCTTTGGAGGTCACTGTGGATGAGGGTGTAGCGGAGGTGCTTGCAACATTTTTTTTTTCTTTTTCTGCTGCCGTTTTGCCCCTCCTCCGTCTAGAACCGCCACTCCCCCCTCCAATATCGCTAGCACCGCCCGCCATAGTGTCGTGGAAGTAGAGGATGCGAGGACAACCAGCGAGGGAAAAACCAAGTTCAAATATCGGAAGAAGAAGAAGAAGAAGAAGAAGAAGACTTAGAAGGAGAAGAAGTAGTAGTAGTAGTAGTAGAAGAAGAAGAAGAAGAAGAAGAAGACTTAGGGAGGAGGAGGAGAAAGGAGGAGAAGGTGGCGAGAAAAAGACGAAGGGAGGGGTATGAGGAGGAGGAGAGAAGAAGACGACAGGAGGGGGAGGAGGAGAGAGAGGAGGAGGAGGAGGAGCAGGAGGAGGAGGAGAGAAGCAAACGAAGGGAGGAGGAGGAGGAGGAGAGGCTCGATTCGTATGTCGTCTATCTGAAAAAAAAAAAAAAAAAA